AATACATCTAGTGACTCAAGCAAGTTTTGCCCATGTGGAGTTTACATGGACAAAATAAAAGAAACTCTACACAAAATCACTCAGGCCCAGGGACTCCTACAAATGACCAGCAATATAATGCATATACAAAATGTTTGTCTCCAGCATCCAGTCGACATGAAGCTGAATTTGAATTCTTATTATTCTCACCTGATCTGTGCCAACCAAAGTTCATGGTTTTGGTGGGCGGTCTGGAGGAGATCCACAGGGAGAACAGGCTCACCATCATGCTGCCAAAGTCTGTCAGAAGGTGGGCCGCATCAGTCATGATGGCCAGGCTGTGGGCCAGGTAGCCTCCTGTAAATCAGGAGGACAAATGACACTGGGCACAAATGATAATGTATATGAGCCATGAGACTGCGTTTATAATAGTCTGCTTAAAGATAAGGAAAGAGACATAATCCAACTCATGTCACTTTTTTTGTTATGTAAATGTTGAATACGATATCCAAACAGAAAAAGAGCAAACAGAAAGTGTGAAGCTGTGTTTATTTTCATTCACATTTAGCTAATAAAAAAGATTTTTATTAAAAAGTGAAGTGTGTTGTAGCTCGCCAACTGTGAAAGTACCTGCTGGGTAATAACATCTCTTTTAATAGCTTTTAAATACACCCATCTTAGACACTCAGAGGTATATTAAACATGTGATTTAAAGCCTCAGTTGCCTCAGGTAAAAGAGCGATTTTATTCTTATAGATCATTTTAAATATCCGTGCAACCAGCCAGTGAATGTCAGCCACCATTTTATTCTCTTAACAGTAAAAAAGTTACACTACAAAAAGAAAAACGAACCTACACTTTTACAGGGAAATAAAGGAGTTCCTCAATAGTTCACCACTGAAGCATTTCTTGCTGTGATGCTTATAATGATACTAACGTCTGCATGAACACTTGTGTGCATAATTTTATTGCTCCCGTCAAAAATGATCATTTGGTCAAATGTAATAGCTTCTTATGCTTTATAAGTGCTTATAACCATCTTCTTGTCATAAGTATTGTGTCCCACACAAATCTCCACACTTTATGGTGTGTGAATATCCAGTAGGGAAGTTTATTTATGTCCACATGGTTGAGAAGGCACATAACAAATTAGGTCACCATTCAAGCTGCTTTCTTTTCTCATTCATTTCTTTTCTTGGTGCTTCTTACCTATGACCTCGCCGATCATGAAGACGAGGCAGACTGCTGAAGCGATGTAGAGTTTCTTCTTGGCCAGCAGCTTGTCCACGCTCTCCTCGCATGCCGACGCTTTGGGGCCGTGGCAGTGAGCGCCGACGGGTCGTTTCAGCTCGATGGCGCCCGACATGCCTCCATTCTTTAAAGGGAAGTCTGAATAATGTTCTTTGGAGTCTGGAAAGGAGCTGCAGGGGGGCAGAAAATAAACAATAGTATATTTTCACAGGTTGAATGAGTGAGCTTGCCATGAAAGATGCTATTATCATTTAGCTGCTCCTGATCAAACAATGTGACCCTCAAGCTGTTCCTCCTGAAGAACCTACCTATGATGCACAGGGCTGCCATTATAATCTTACACCTGCAGTACTGTGCTGTTGCTCTAGCTTTCAGCACCACATTTAAACATACTTGGTTAAATCACCTGTATCAGCTGTAATGTTTGATTTTTTTTCAGGTAATGAATGAACAGAGTGTTGTTCGCTGTGCTTTTTGATGTTTCATTTGTTATATATTTTTATGCATTTGTTTATTCTAAAGCTTTTATGTGACCTTCCCTGGGAAAGAAGGAAATTAGCAATTTTGGCATGTTTACATCTCACATTTTCTGTATAATGATGTGAGTAACTTGGACTATTAAATAAATAATAAATATAAAATAATAAATATGAGTGTTGTCACAGAGACAGTTCCCAGTTCAAACCCTAACTGACAAGCATGCTGGGTTAACTGGTAATTCTACACTGATCATAAATGAGAGGTAGATAACATGTGCTCCAAAGCTCAGTTTTAATGCATTGTTAAATGAGGTCAGTGAAAATAGAAAAGCACTATATACAGTATAAATAATATAAATCATGCTTGGCTGTTCAGACAGAAAGCATTATACTTGAAGATGTGAGCTAGTCTGCAGTGTGATGGGTGCATTTAAAGATAAATCTACTTATTAGGAAAATAAATTATTTTTGTATCTTCTGACCGACATGTCTGTTAAAACAATGTAATTTCAGCCTTAGTAAAACCCCTGTCTGATCTCATGGAGGCTGGCTTTTTGTCCATCCTTGTAACAGCTGAGGTGTTTTAGGTGTTGAGTGAACTAATTTTTTTTTTTTAGCTAATGTTACAGCACAGCATCTTCTGATAGAGTCCCAATGGTTTACAAAGTGGAAACCTGACAAAGTGCATCGCAGTCAGTGTTCACTTAAGTGAAAGAATGGTGCGCTGTTTCGTTCGATGAAGAACCCATTAAAATCGATTCATGCTGACAGTGAAGGAGGGTGAACAGACTGCCCTGTTTTACAGTCCAGAACTTCACGTCACGACTGCTCCTGAGTTTTAATAACTCATAAGCGCTCCATCTTAGGTCTTGTGCGTTGTGTCGTTTTCTATTCATCCAGGTTACAGCAGTGTTTTATTTGAGAACAAATTTGTGAATGAAAGTCATATCTGACCAAAATGTTGTAAAAACAAACAAACAACAACAACAACGAATAAACAGCAAACAACAACAAAAAAAACTTAAGAAAGTGCAAGCAAATTATAAAATTAGTGCTTCTTGTGTATAATAAATCAGACTGTAAACTTGAAGCCAAGCGCTGCCCAAACATCAAACATATAACAACAAATAGATAAATGTTTTTTTTAATACTCCATCCATCCATTTTATTTACCATTAATCCTATTAGGGCTGCCAAGGTTTGGAGACTATACCTGTTGTTGTTTGGCAAGAAGAAGGGTGTACCCAGTACTGGTCACCCATCAACCACAGAGATTCACAGAGACAACAGACAACCATTCAAACCCAGTACCAGGTAATTCCAAAGGAATCTGAAGGAAGTTGATTAGAATACAAAAACATATGTACACTCAACAGCCATTTTATTAGTTACACCTCACTAGTACTGGGTTGGACAATCTTTTGTCTTCAGAACTGCCTTAATTCTTATAGCACAGATGGAACAAGGTTCTGGGTCTAAATGTTGCTGAGTTGCTGCCATGTGACTGGTAAATATATGTAATAGTGAACAACTGAATAAATTACCTAATACCTAATAATCTGGCCTGTTTATTTGGTAATTTAGTAAATTAAAACAGTAGCAGTGGTAAAATAAATAATACTGTAGTCATTTAATAGTTGCCATTCTGTTCATTTTGCACATAAATACAGAATCTTTTCATTTAACACCATCTTGCCTATCTAAAATAAGATGCTTTTCATTTGAAAGTGAAAATTTTCAGTGTTCAATCTGGACATTACACATCTATGTATACTTGAACCCTGGCAAGATGCAGACCTGACTGGATTACTGCTGAGAATAAAAGAAAATGCTGACCTTTCCATTTTATTTTCTATCTTTGTCTCTCTCTCTCACACACACACACACACACACACACAGGTTGCTGTTCTTATCATGCGTGGGGGAGGATTCGATGATGTGACTAATGAGGTGGAAAAAAGCTAATTTGGCCTCACTTGAGATAACCAGACACACACTTTAATGTCACACGCTTCACACAGGAGATTGCGAGCGCTGTACGATTATCACACACACACTCGTCTTCGAAGATGTCCAACCTCAAAAGAAGCAGCCAGGCGGAAAACAGATTCTGTTCAATTGTACCAACGGGACACGAGAGAAAACCACACACACACACACACACACACACACACACACAATGAAACCTTGGGGTGATGATAAATTCCAGAGTGTGCAGAAAAAAAATATCCTGTTCAAAAGATTCATGCAAAATATCCTCAGACATTAAACACACTGTGTGGCCTGCAGCGCAACATTGTCAGGGGGAAGGGCCGCCTGTTAAGCAAACATCTGTGCCATTAACATCTGTAACCCTTCTGCCAAATTCAAACATAACAAGATTTTTTTTAATCCCGTTCTGAAGGTAAACTGAACACAGTGAAGCCTGATCATTTTTTTTCATGACTTTTCATCTGTGCTGTCTAAAATGTTGGTGTATACATGTGTACATATATGCTAGTATATGCATTTGTATATAGGTGTATGCGCATATATATGGATTTCTTGTCATCTTATTACTCCATTTATTTTAATCTATTCTGTTTATTTTGCCTACATTATCCTTATGTTCAGTACTTGTTCAACACCTGATGTCTTTTAAACATGCTATACAAATAAAGCTGATTTGACTAAAGGTGGACTTAATGGTGGTTTTATATTTATTAAGGGTCAAATGTTTTTGTTTGCACTTTCTTACTTTCTCATCCAAAACTTCTGGTGCAAATTAATACCTCATGAAGTTACTGCTTATTTTATTTGATCTAGGTAGTAAATTGCACCTTTCTATTGGAAACTATATGGTTGTTGGTCAGCACTCCTTAATCAAGTGGCTCCTTGGCTTTAAACACTGAAAACACTCCCAGCCAACCGCAGTAATACCACAGCTGTGCCTTTAACTGGCTCAGTAGCATTCAGCACTAATTTGTCAAGTCAAATAGTCAAATCTATTAATTAGGTGGACATATTGTGACTGTAACATTACCTGCAAAAAACACCCCAGAGAATTGAAAAGTGTGTTTAACATGATATTTGAAATGCAAATACAAGTTTAAGTTATTTAAAATCCAATATATTGCAAAGTTTTTACAATTATGTGTTTTTTGCAGTCTATTTATTTCAAAGTGGTGACGATGTTTTGACCCTGGTGGTGACTGGGCTTCAATTCTTTTAAGAAATAAAAACACATTTGAAGAAAAAGCTTTTATGTTTGTTTGTAATGCATATTTTCCTGTTAATGCATTTTATGTGTAACACTACAGACCTTAAAAAGAACAAAAGTTGTACAAACAACAAAAAAAAATATTGGTGCATTTTAGTTTTTGCTAGTTTTCAGCTTTTAGTGCGAATAGTCTTAATGTTTTTAAGTCCTTTGGTTTAAGTCAGACGATCGCAGGTCAAACATAACTGTGTCTGAGCCAGAGATGTGCAGTAACGCGTTACATGTAACGTGTTACTGTAATCCGATTACTTTTT